GTTCAATTGAGTTCAATAAAATTTGCTTTACAAATTAAACAATGTTAGAATACATGTACGACGTTTTGTCAACAACATTGATAACTACATTTATTGTTAGACCATTGATAACAACATTTCTCGTGAAGTCACAGAATTTTACAAGTAACCAATAGCACAAGTACAAGTGGCAAGTTTCGTTATAAGAAATGAGCAAGTACTTTCCTATCTAGAATGGGATCGACGTGTCATGGAAGTTACGCGGTAGCCATAACTACGCGTTACAGATATACTCTCTTCTGAGCTTAATGTGAAAGTAAACAAACACTCTCTCAAGCCTGATATCGGATCACCTTGGCATGTAAAGTATGATATTGGTGTCAATAACATAAATTGACAAGGTTGATAACGGTTGTGTTTCGTGCCCATATCCAGGCAGGATTACAGTTCATTGTATCAACTATCTATACACAGTGACCACCACGTTTTATCTTTGACCCTGACACCTTTACCACCACACAAAGCAGAACATCGACACAACTATTCTTGGTAGTATTTTGATAAGTCTACATGTACCTAGCCCTATTCTAAGATTGGCCGATCCAGGCACCAATAGATAGAGGTTGTTCCAAATGGGAAATGTTGTTTTACAGAAAATTTTCATATTTCGGGCGGAGGGGTTCAGGAGCCAGAAAACTTCTCTGGATTTGTTGCTGTCGAGTCACTGCCAGTGCTTTATAGCCCTGATCATACTGAACGCTGGTCATTAACGCGAGCATAACCCTACGATAGTCAGCTAACATGACCAAAACAATCACCCGTTGCCCTGTCTCTCCACAGTTCACCCGTACTATGACACCGTGTGTCTGAAAACAATTATAATATTCACTGCATACACTTTTTGTATCACTCCACAGAGGTATAACTTATCTTAATGTCATTCTCGTTAAATACAAGCCGTTTCCTACTAACTCGGCTAGGGAGAATTTCTCTTTAGCTCATTCGGTAGAGCGTTATCCTAGTAAACCAGAGGTCCTGGGTTTGACTTCTAGCATAAAGCATTGAACAAATAACGGCATCTGTTATATAAATTTGTCTCGGTACAAAAATTGTCATCTGGCTAGTGAACATCCTCGATTGCTGGTCGCAGTTGCGTTTGTTATCTGTGAGTCTTTTGTTGATTGATTAATTGATGGATTGTTTAACGAGCATATTCCGGTTACATCCTGGTTTAAAATAAAAAATGAAATAAAATTCAAAGGGGCAAAGGGAATGATCCCCCTTATAATTGCCAAGAGTTTCAATGAGAAAGGCAGAGAAAAACATGCTTTTTTTCTAAAAAAAAAAATAGTGGTAGAAATTTTGAATGTCACATAAAATCCAATACCAGTGTTGTGTATCCCTGCGATAAGACAGCTTACTAGTTTTCGGAAACCAGCTGCATTCACAACCTTTAACACGTAAAGTGTCGCTCGCCCTGTACCGGACCTCCGTTTACAAGTCACTTTCCTTCATTCCGACAGACAGGAAATTAGTTTGAGGATAGTGTGCAAACAAATTGCGGTGATTATGGTGAAAATACGTGTAACTTGATAAGTGTTGATTGGTTTGATATTTTAAGGAGTTCTAATCACCGTTATTTTGCATGTGTATTTATATAACTCCTGCCATGTAGTATAAGACATATGGTGTTTTGAGAGGCGATAAAAAGAGTGGGTAAAGGTCCCAGATGATGATGATTTATTTTGAGCATATCAGAGTGAAGAACAGATGGTACTAAAGTTTGGTTATATTAGAAAATGAAATTAAGTGATACTATGCTAACAATATGCAAACATTCTTTTTCGGTGAAGTACGAATTACTATAAATGATAATCTGCAAACTCACCTTACAAGAGCAATGTTTCGAGCATGTAGCATAATGTATTCGGACTATATTGAGCAAACGTAGGGAGAAAATGACTGTGCCAAATTCTCTATTTGCAGGACTGTCAAAATCCGGCTTTCTGATTCATGTTATTACGCACTACGCAATACTTTCCGTCCGAAGATACCAAACAGCTTTAAAAAAAATGATATTAGAAATCAAAATCTCTGGAAAACTTTAAGTGACATTCAGAAAGTCAAAAATCAAAGGTGAGGTGAGGGACGGGGTCCTCTTGAAATCTGTCTCACAGACTTTTATTAAAAATGGCAACATTACACAGAATTCCGTTCGGTATATCATGCTGATAGTTGTGTATGGCTGGGGGCTAAAGATGAACGTGACACGCACACGTCTGAATGCAGCTTTAAAATTTGGTAATAGATACAGTATGCAAGAAATGAAGTACACTGTATCATACTTTAAGCTGATCTATATGATATCTATGATATGGAGTCCACTCCCAAACATGTAATTCAGGCCTTAGTTACCACTAGACGTCACTACATCATCAATTTTTGAACCACATACCCGCCCAACATCGGTTAAATCATCAAAAAGTGTTCACAAAATACAGCGAATGGGTAAAATACTCAAAATAACCCTATCACGTAAAAGATTTATAATTATGATTTTTAACTTTCTTTTTATTTTAAACCGTGTCAGCAAAGACAACAAGAGAATACCTAAGTGTCAACAAAACCATAATTCGAACTCCAAAGCGACAAACTTAGGCAAGCTATGACAAGGATAATACGACCATGTGTTCCGGAAGGACAAGCGTCTTCTGCTTCATCGACGACATCCGCCATGAAAATCTTGAAGAAAAATACATAATTTTAAGTCCTCACATCGAGAACTCTGATGGTGGCGACAAAACCAACAGGCACTCCAATGAGCATAATAAAAAGCATTAACCTTCATATCACACACAGAAAAAAAGCATATTTCCCTGCGATACCCTGATGGCGACCAGAGAACTTGTCCAGAAAACAGTTCTCATCTCGGGGGAAAGGATGTCCACCAGAAGAGTCAGCCATCTTGTTACGTAAAGTAAAACTAGAAAAACGAAATAAAGAAACAAATATCTACAAATTTAGTTTGTTGACGCATAAAGCCAAATACATATATTTACCGCGCCACATGGCCATATCGTCCAATATCACGCATCATTGATACATAGAGGGTAATAAAGACAACAGAATAACAAGCCATTTGGATTGATATGTCTCACCTGTGCCTCGCTTTGACCATCAATGCACATGTCAAGTTTGGTTGATCTAGCATTCATAATTTCAAAGAAACTAACTTAAACGCAAATCATAATGGAGATAATGACAAATTCAATAGACTATGAAATGTACAATGCAGGCCGCAGCCAGAATTTGATGCATGGGGGAGATGTTCTACCTAAGATGCATCTATGGGATGTATCACTTATACTTTCAAGGAAACTAACTTAAACGCAAATCTTAATGTTGATGGAGATGCTGACAAAGCCAATGGACCATGAAATGTAGGCTGCATCCAGGATTTGTTGCACGGCTGAAGATGTTCTACCTAAGATGCATCTATGGTCCAAGTTTGGTTTGCGTATCACTTTTACTTTCAAGGAAACTAACTTAAACGCAAAAACTAAATTAGATTGACGCCGCCACCGCTGTCCCCGGAAAACACACCTTAGTCTCGCTTCCGCTACTTCGTGGCGCGAGACAAAAACCAATGTCAATAGCGTTTAAATGCTAAAAATACAGCAATATTTAGCGATAAACTCCGTTACAAATGAACAATGTTTTGATACAGCAGATAACCTCTTCTTAAAATAGTAATCCAGGTACACAATGCCAGACGAAATTTCACCTAGAAGGGGCTTCTTAAAACTTTATTGATGCAAAAAGGAAAACAAAGTAAATATTTACTGAGCACCAAATGGCCTTGTTGTCGGACAGCAGAAAGTAGCAGTGTCTATAAAACAAAGTTTGGAAAACAATAAATATTACATTTAAATGGAAAACGCCCTTTATAAAATACTTCAGTATTTACTTGAAAGGTTTATATATTGAGGTCAGGAAATTTCTGAGAAATAACAGAATGATATCTCATTTTGATCATTGAATGAAGAAATAAAACAAACTAATTTACACACATTTCCTAATTGATATGTATTTATTAGAAGTGTTTTTATCTACTTTTCTTAGTGTCTTCTCTTTCTAGGGTTTAGAATAATCATTCAAATGACATCTTAAACGCCTTGCTTTTGATTTGTACCCTCACTTAACCAAACCCTGTCTACGCCACTGGTTGTATTGTTGAATTAGTAAAATACACCTTGTCCCATAGTTATACCTCTAATACAAATATATAATACCGCGGAATGACAGTTATTCTCACTCACAATAATTCCATTCATGTCTATCTCACATTCATCAGTAAGGTTACTACACCTTCAGTAAGGTTACAACAGGCGTAGTAACCTTTGATGACGTTAATTTATAAACATTTTACACATTCCTTGTATAAAAACCAGTCCACAGTGTTTACATCTCCAGTGCGCGGGCCTCGGTGAACGAGTTCGGGGACAGAAACATTTAACTAATCATGAGAGGAAGTTGGTTTGGCCAATGGTAGATCGAATTAGTTGTCTGACGCAGCGGGAGTAGCGTGTGTAAATATTTGTGTGTATGTGTATCTACAAATAGGTAAAGCCTTGTTAGCTTATCGTTCACTCCTTTTTCAGATCTAGCTTACTCACCTGTGTCTGTCCGACATGTTTTGACCGTGTATACTGGTCATTTAAACTCTTTACGTTCAAAGTGATATCGTCTAAATAATATATATATTTATCAGTTGTAATGTACACGTAATGTTCCTAATGGTGTGGGCGAGTTCAAGCTGCGGGTTTATTTAGCTGTAATTGGAGTACACACACTGGTCTGGGCTGATTAAGCTGTTGTCCGCTGGTTCGCTAATCGATATAAGATTATTTCAATGTATATCTGTAATAAAACATTATCACATGGATAGGTTTATAACAATTGATTCACAGTCATATGATCTACTTTCCTATGGGAGTAGCAAAAACACAGGAGGAAATCCAGAAAATAGCAGCTGATCACCAGGATGGTTTATAATCAACGACATATGGCAAGTAGTCAATACGGATAAATCCGATAACAGCCAACACCATACTCAGTATACACAGCACAAGTACCCTAGCACTATAACAGGAAGTGAAATGTAATTATTATACTGCGCCGTTTTGTGTCCGGATTAGAAAGAAAGGGCGTTAGTTGTTGGCTTTTTCTCGACCAATCAGAACGGAGCTGAATATTGAAATATAAGTTGTATGAACTTGTGCATGGCCGTCATTTGAACACATTGAGCGAAATGACTATCAGTCTTATAGATACCATCAGAAATGGTGATTTGAAAACGGCAAAGACGATGTTGCAAAATAATAACTACCCGAACATTGATGCACAGACATGTCGTCGGGATGGCACTGCGCTGTACTGGGCGTGCAGCCTAGGTTTCTTGGATATACTTCAGCTGTTACTACTCCAGGGGGCCAATACCTGTACCAAGACGGAGTGGGGAGCCACACCCCTTTCCGCTGCGTCTGACAATAACCACACCCAAATCGTCAGGTAAGCTTGATGTCTGTTAAAATGATTTTTGTTAACAAAAATATTACATTGTTTATCTAACTCGGAAAAAATAGGATTTTACCGTAGCATTGATATAAAATCAGGGAATAATTTTAGGAATGATTCCAGTTTTTTTTTTTGTGTTATAAATTTTTTTAAACGTTATGATACTGCATCATCTTGTGCTTGACGCCAACACGTATTAAACGTCATATTTTCAACCCAACAACAAATTATAAAATATGTTCATCACTTACACTGTTGTTTATTACACGGCTTTTTGGTGATAACATACGTAAATATTATGGTAGAAATAGACACATTCCATAGGCATGTATTTGTAGTGGATATCAAGTTGTGTTTAGTACGTTATCAGTCTGTAGTTATCAACTTTTATAAAATAGACATTCACTGTTTTAAAGATGTTTTTTAGTTAATTATCGTTACGACATATTGAAATAAAGAAAAAGTAATAACGGCATACATTTCAATGAGAAAAAATGTTGACTTGCAATAATAGTAAGACAGTAATTGATCAGCGCGTAAAAAGTAAACTACGCTACAATTATATAAGCAGATATGGAGATTCCTCAATGACTGACAGTTGAATTAGTTTAATTCTAAAAGTCACGAAAGACACGCGCTACAGCAAGTACTTATGAGACCAATACACACAATATATTCTTCAGTCAAACATATTTCATTTCAAGATAAACTTATTTTTATAAATATGACATTGAAGTAAATAAATAGTTTCAAATGGTACATATTGATGAACAGACTTATTGCTCGCAGTTGGTCGCGTTCGTAGTTCTCTCATACCAAACAGAAAATCAAACAAAATCACCTTCTCCCCGCCAATTGACGATCGCTATCTTGCATTTACAAAAACACATATCCTTGGTTTATAATTATAAATGAAAATGAATTTTGCAACGTCGATAGGACCTCTATAGTTGCACCCGTAGTTTTATCCGTTCTTTTTTCATACGGCTATTTCTAGACGCCTTATTTGCACGTTATATCTATACCATTTTTTATAATGATATAATTATATCCTTTATATAACCTATTAAGACAGCATAAAGATTGTTTCACATGACCAGAAACGAGAGAAAAATGTCTCACGACCAGATGATCCACTGTTTGTCGTGATATCTTACTAGTATCAGATGCTTTTGCAACATTATCAACCTATTGATTTTTTCTCGTTTTCCCTTACTGCATATTGACATTACAAGATCGTTAATTCTTCTGCTGGTAGAATAGCAATTCTCAAGGTTGGCTCTTACATTGTAAATCGGATTTACAGCTACGTGAAATACTAGTGTAAAATTAAATGATCTATTATAGCCAAAAGATGTAAAATTAGTAACGTTATAAAAAGGATTAGATATATTTCTACGAATGGTTCAGAAAATATTGGTATAGATTTCCGTTGTATTACATTAGTAAAACAGATGAGTCCTAAATAGACAAAAGGGCTATATATGGTGCTTAATTCAGCTTTCTTTATCACCAAACTTAGTGTATGAATACCTGCTCACTATTATCGTGTTTCTGTTGTTTACTGTACTGTCTGTCGTCCGTCCATCGGTCATTAATATACCAAAGGGCAGTTTTTGTTAAAAATAATTGATAACGGGCAAACACAGACTGTTGACAAATAGTACTGTGACATATATGCTTTTGTTATTTAGTCTGTAAATGGGAGACGTTACGTTACGTTGCAAACCACAAATATGACTGATCATAAAAGATGATTAAACATTAAACAAATCCCCCACACAATACGTCATAGCTACGAGGAGCATCAATATATACACGTATAAGTAGCTAACCTCAGCATATCGCCTATTACCTATGATAGAGAGGCAAGCGTCAGAGTACGTATTGCTGACACATAAATGTCACCGGGTGACGTTATTAATGATTTTGTCCTAGTATTATGTTCGTCCTTCCGTGTAAGGGGCCACACGTCTGTAGGTAAGCGGAAGGGCGACTGTACAAACTTGTGTATATGATATGCATCACGTGTCGTTAGGAATTTCATGTAACCTACAATAAAAGGTCAAATTCAGTCGTGTATCCGGGAAAACTCTTATCAAAGAGCAAATACAAATGTCAATTGTAATTTACATCGCTGGTATGTTTATTTTGTATGTGAACAATTTTCTAAACTGAAACATGTTGTTTTGCTAGTGCCCATCATTCAAATTCTAACTTTAATTAATGAAATTATGAATGAATACACTACGATTTTTTTTCATGTAAACAGCAGATACAAAAAATAACCTCGAATCATTTTCTTGTTTTAATTTCGACATGACATCAATGTGTCTATGTTTTACATAGCATCCTATAATGAGAACAGGCTGGGGGATATTTCAGTCGTTTAGTGCATTTCTCTGACGTCAATAGTAATGATAAATTGCCCTTAGCTACACGTTCTAAAACTTCGCATATGTGATACTCTTTGAATCTGACTATTTACTTATACTTTATCAAATTAAGATTCGATACTTCACTGTTTTTTAAACATGCCAGTAAAAGAGTATGTGATTAGTGTTATGTTACATGTAATTGGCGTAATAGATAGTTTACCAACAGCATCATGCCAAATATAACCGCATACTCATTTCAAGGCGTGCACAATCATTTTAAAGGGATCGAGCTTAAAAACACGAATGCTAATGAGCACTCTAATCATTTGCAGTTAAAAAATATCCATACAGTTTTAAATTTAGCTATAATATTAGTTAATAAATGACAGGAAAGCAAATTGACCTTTTTCTGCCAAGACAGAGAATCGCATTGTAAGCTAAAACTGAGCATGTTTTATGTCTTTTACAGGATTTTGTTAAAGCTGAATGCCGATGTAAATTCAAAGACAAGTTCCGGTGACACACCGTGCCATCTGGCGGCATATCGGGGGTTCTCCGCTGTTGTACAGCTTCTGGTGGAGGGAGGGGCCGACATACGTTTACGTAACAATAAAGGCCAAACAGCTTATGATCTGGCAAAAAACTCCGAACACTCCAAGATAGCTTCTTACCTTCATGCGGTTTCCGAAATGTGTAAGTGATATTTAAATTTTTCGTATTAGGTATTGAAACACTTGTGTGATCGAAAGCCTTTCACCTTTTCCTTGTTTTCTACTTTGTCGACTAAATAAATAATAAGATATATATAATAATAAGATATATAAAATAATAAGATATATATAATAATAAGATAGAATAAAAACATCAATCTATCAGATCTTCCGCTAGGCCTTTATGCCTTATAAGGCTTCTTCACACGGTTTATTAATAATAAGATATATATAATAACTGCTGAAGTTGATCATGACTGCATGATTATAGTTCATGCACTCAGATAAAATGTACAAATTTACCTGTTATTATTGTATTCGATTTGAATGGTGGCTTTTGTATATATTAAGACATTTCTGTTTTTTGTTTTAGTTGAAAATAAAGAGCGGAGTAACAGACAGACAGCATTAGCATGTACAAGTACAGTTAACATGCGCACAGTGGTAAAGTCAGAATATCCCGTCCAAAACTACCATGTGCTTCATAGATCGGTAGACAACTACACACCAAGGTCCTGCGTTCCTTACACTCCCTCGACTCGGACTGTGGCGTGTGCTAAAAAGGGATGTTCTCATTCTGTATGCCAATTTTTAAAAAACGATTTAAACGATTTATCTACATCCTGTCCGACGAAGCGCCAACTGTCGTTCAACAATATTGTGACGCTAGAACAATGACGTAACAGTGTGTCTTGTTACTGTGATCAGAAATCCGAACAATCTTGTATCCGGGCATTGTGTGGAACAGAAGATGTTTTTTCCTGAGTTAAAGCTTGTATCGACACAAACTCCCTATTTTTTTCCTGTGCCAATTCTTATAGGTATGTCTGTACATTGTGCTTCGTCAAGGAAAGCTTTTTATCCATGTCTCTACACCTTAAACAATAACACTTTCATTCTAAAACGAGGATTTATACGAATGGATTAATGCTAAATGCTGTACGGCTGAAGAACATATTTCACCTTTTAAAGATATTCATGTGTGACTATCTTTTATTTTCCCCTGCTACATCGATCTGCAATGTAACAGCATGTCAAAAAATCCTTAAAAGACATTTTCAAATTGGGCACGGCAAAGCCTCATGGGAATCACGGAAAAGTGTCGTTTACATATAATTAACATAGCTGCCATGTTTGGTGAATAAGACTCCTTACGATAAAAGGGGAATACAGATATGCAGTTTGATGATATTTAGTTTGTGAACCATTTTTCACCTGTGATGTTTCTATTGTACATTATAAGTTACTTAACGTGTCATCTGTGAATATATATAATTGAACAGAGCAAATATAGTGTCTGCCTTTCACCATCTTTCATAATGAAATAGAGAATAGAAACAGTTTGGAAGACCCTTCTACTGTCGAAACAAGCATTCAATACTGCTTGTAATCTAACATTTTTATAGGGAGGAGGTATCAGGACCACATGTGCATCACTTCATACCTATGTAGACAAAACTTAACATGAAGATTGCTTCCATCCTTTCGAATAATGGAGACAAAATTAATTGAAGACTATCTTGCATGCATTTTTTTTTTGATATGTTTAAACAATATCATCTTTAGAATATAAATGAAAATGATGCAAAACATACATTATGTATCTTTATTAAGGAACTTGTTTTTTTTTATCTTGTTAACACAGAATGTAGTTCGATAAACTACCTTATCTACGTCATGGTTGACGTAGTACGTTGTTTACCTTGCCATCGCGACACAGTTGAATGGTGATGGAATGTGTCGGTATTTTATTGATGACGTGCATCTAGTCTCGCCCCTGTCCTATACAGACGCCGGGGTTATTTCGTGGTAGTGTGACTATCCAACAATACTCCTATTACACATATCTTTTATCTGTGATATTCCCTGATCAATATGTAGGTTAACACAAGTGCCTCTTTCTTTCCTGATGTGATGTCAACAATATTTTTTACATAATTGATTTATTTTTTTAAACAAAATATTGATTAACATTAATAAATTACTTTTCACTTAAAAATACTCTGTACCGATTAAATGATATGCCCTTGGTGGAACTAGGCACCTGTGTTAGTATTTATGTCCGTTAGAAGTATTTATAAATGATATTGACCACTGTGCTTTCAGTACTATACCATTTCGCACCTTCCATTGTAAGGTGACTTTTTAGAATTTGTTAAGTTTTTGAATGCGTGTTATATTGACTGCCATTGTGTTGAGAGCTACTTGTAATTATATGTGATCAAGTGTTGTCAAGCTTGTGGACGTTGTGGTCCATTCTGAAGGGTGTTGATTATCATAAAGTTTATCATGGTTCATATGTTGTCGTACTTTGTTGTTATTTATATAAATATATTTATGACGTCACTAAAATTGTTGACTAGGCAAATATTGATGACGTCATGTAACCACGGTGACAAATACACATAAATCCGCATGAAGAAGCCATAGAAGGGAGAAAGGCCTAGCGGTAGATCTTACATATTATTACTTTATTATAAATATGTATGTATATATATATATTGCTTTTGTAAATCACTCATTATGTAGGAGACATTTGAATATACCTGCCAGTACACTACCTATTTATGAAATATTTAGCGAAGACTCGTTCTGACACACTAAAACTCAATGCACTACTGTTGCAGTTTTTCTCGTGAAACCAAATACTCAAAAATAATCATACGAATCAAATTGAATTATTCATTTCGATCAATATGTTACTTTCGTCAAATACAGCACAATAGTTTTACAATAGCATGAAGAATACAGTGTTACGCTTTACAACTATCTGACAGGTATAGAGTAATCGAAAACAAAGTTGAAAGCTGATATTGATTCGTCTCCTTCAAGTATTGCTGGCACAAGACAATTTATCAACGCACCTGGTAAACTCATTGTAATGTTTTCGATAGTTCCAGGATACGACACGAGTTCTATGTAACGTACATGTTCTTATTAAAACGTGTTGCTATTTCAGTTTGTATTCCAAAATTATACAAGCCCCCAATTACAATTTTCCTTATCTATACAACTATGTCGATCAAAATTCTGAATGCCATATATTTTAATGCTTCATTGATATTTTATTTCACGATCTTCTCCTGTTGGAGCAAATAAATATATTGAATCCAAGTAATTTCAACTCATACATTATTACATTATCATATTTATAGATTATACACTTTCACAAAATCGAACACTTTCCCAAAAATTTTCATTCATTTGTATTATGAGAATTTACATAATCTTATTACGTTAATATATCTGGCATACATTTCACACTAAATGGATCACGTTTTCGTGAGTGACTTGCGAATAACCAAATGAGCTGTTATCATGTGGCCTATATCGGGTACACCACATGAGTATGACTGTTCGGGACATACCCCGTCTGTCATCGCGTCACAGCTTGCGTAGGCGAGTAAACAAATACACTCACTGGCCTATTTAATCACTCTGGTTTCGTTTCACAGTAATAAATCTTCCCGCCCGCGTTCATACATACATACGCTGTGTATGCACAATGCATAGGCGTGAGCGGTATCATATGACTTTATGAACAGTCACCAGTAAAAAACCACCGGTTTCCGTTTGTTTCACTGTCTGAGGTTATCTGATTATTCCCACTTATCCAAGGGCGGATCTAGAATTTTTAAGAAAGTTGGACATAATAAATCAGCCCAAACTACCAGCTCCGCCCCTTCCCTTTCATACATCGATCGCTATGTCAAAGGAATACAATAATGAGGAAATAAAGAGCACAAAGGTACATAATCATGATCATTACTCGGCCCCCGCTACCGGCATGTATTAAAGTACGATGAATAATAACGTTGTATATTGTTTACAACTATGAAATCCAGCACTAACACTAACACAGAATGACAACGTCACATTTTACTGATAGCGAAGCACACCAAATAATGTAATGCATGCAGTGAAAACTCACACCCGGTCATAAGCAAAATGGATTTCAAAATCAAAATTCAATATTAAAAAAAAATTGATTCGAAAGATAGATTTCACAGTTTCAAATTCAACTACAGTTACATTTAAAAGTACAATTTCATGTTAAAACCTATGTCCTGTGGCGTCTTCCATTGTCCATGAGTGTCGCTGAAACTGTTCACAAAACATTGTTTGTGAGTGGGAGGAGCAACTGATTTATGATATTTGGTAGTTGATATGTATATGACAATATTACAACTCAAGTGATTAGCCTGCGTTATGATTACGACTGCATTTGACAGCTGTCCTGCGAAATTAAATATTTCCATTTTAACGACAAGAATATAACCCAAGCGAGATTAAAAAACAGTCAATTTCAACAAACGATTAGACATCAACAGGTAAGGGAAAAAGAACCAAAATGTCAATAAAGAAGATAAAAAATAACCCAAACGTCAACAAAGAAGGGCAAAAGAACCAAAACGTCAACAAAGAAGGGAAAATAACCAAAATGTCAAGAAATAAGGGCAAAGGAACCAAAACGTCAACAACGAAAGGCAAAAGGGCAAAGAACCCAAACGTCAACAAAGAATGGCAAAAGGGCAAAGAACCCAAACGTCAACAGAGAAGGGCAAAAGAACCAAAACGTCAACAAAGAAGGACAAAAGAACCAAAACGTCAACAAAGAAGGGAAAATAACCAAATTGTTAAGAAATAAGGGCAAAGGAACCAAAACGTCAACAACGAAAGGCAAAAGGGCAAAGAACCCAAACGTCAACAAAGAATGGTAAAAGAACCAAAACGCCAACAAAGAAGGGCAAAGAACCAAAACGTAAACAAAGAAGGGCATAAAACCAAAACGTAAACAAAGAAGGGCATAAAACCCAAACGTCAACAGAGAAGGGCAAAAGAACAAAAACGTCAACAAAGAAGGGCATAAAACCAAAACGTCAACAGAGAAGGGCAAAATAACCAAAACGTCAACAGAGAAGGGCAAAAGAACAAAAACGTCAACAAAGAAGGGCAAAGGAACCAAAACGTCAACAAAGAAGGGCAAAAGAACCAAAACGTCAACAAAGGAAGGCAAGAGAACAAAAAAGTCAACAACCAAAAACAAAATAACTAAAATTGGCAACAGACAAAAATAAACGAACAACAGCATCAAAACACTGTAGTATCGAATTGAAATAGACAACATCAACACAGGAGATACAAAAATAATATGTATTGATTTACCACAGCACTAAACACGATGATAAGTAGATATACCACAGCATCGATACACGATGATAATATATATATACCACAGCATCAATACACGATGATTTAATATATACCACTGAATCAACACATGATGATAGATAGATATACCACAGAATCAACACGTTGATAAATTTGATAAATAGATATACCACAGCATCAACACACGATGATTTAATATATACCACTGAATCAACACATGATGACAGATAGATATACCACAGAATCAACACATGTTGATAAATTTGATAAATAGATATACCATAGCATCAAACACGATGATGAAATATATACCACAGCATCAACACACGATGATAAATAGATATACTATAGCATCAATACACGATGATAAAATATATACCACAGCATCAACACATAATGATAAATTGATATACGACAGCACCAACACACGATGATAAAATATATACCACAGCATCAAGACAAAATGGTAATAGATATACCACAGCATCAACACATGATGATAAATAGATATACCACAGCATCAACACAGAATGATAAATAGATATACCACATCATCAACACACGATGATAAATAGATATACCACAACATCAACACACGATGATAAATAGTTATACCACAACATCAACACACGATGATTAATAGATATACCACAGCATCAACACAGAATGGTAAATAGATCTACCACAGCATCAACACAGAATGATAAAAAGATATACCACAACATCAACACACGATGATGAAATATATACCACAGCATCAACACACGATGATAAATAGATATACTATAGCATCAATACACGATGATAAAATATATACCACAGCATCAACACACGATGATAAATTGATATACGACAGCACCAACACACGATGATAAAATATATACCACAGCATCAAGACAAAATGGTAATAGATATACCACAGCATCAACACATGATGATAAATAGATATACCACAGCATCAACACAGAATGATAAATAGATATACCACATCATCAACACACGATGATAAATAGATATACCACAACATCAACATACGATGATAAATAGATATACCACAATATCAACACACGATGATTAATAGATATACCACAGCATCAACACAGAATGGTAAATAGATCTACCCCAGCATCAACACAGAATGATAAAAAGATATACCACAACATCAACACACGATGATAAATTGATATACCACAACATCAACACAGAATGATAAATAGATTTACCACAGCATCAACACATGATGATAAATAGATATACCACAGCATCAACACAGAATGATACATAGATATACCACAGCATCAACACACGATGATGAAATATACAACAGTATCAACACACGATGATAAATAGATATACCACAGCATCAACACACGATGATAAATAGATATTCTACAGCATCAACACACGATGATAAATAGATATAAGACAACAGCAGGAACTGGGAAGACATCGAGGTCAACAGAAAGACGTCATAACTCTAAAACATATCCGGATGCAATATCATACTATTTATCGAAGCCGTTTTTTTCTGACCAATACTTTTATAGAACTGATTTACATACAATATACATTGCTAACACGTTCATATAACTTTTTACCTACAGGTTTTTGTAGACCTGTATGAACACGCCACAGTTATACTTCTTAATGTAGTTGACACTGATCTTTCTATGATAAAACGTCATATGTCTTAATGTTGAGTGTTCGCCCAGGTGGGGTAGGCAATGGGTAAAGTCCCCAGGCCGGGACATACAAAAGTCCTTAAAATCGGTACTTGTTATTTCTTGCTTAACGTTCAGCATTTAGAGTAATGTCAACATAATGTGACCGGGTAGAATGCTATGCTGGGTGTGTTCGGCATGGTGTTTAAGTGAGGTAGCACTCTAAAGTCGGAATCAGATCCACACTATCGCAAAAAGTCTAAACAACAAAATAACCTACCTCCAGCCTCCATATACGAAATAAGCAGGCATATATAACACATATGGAGGCACGCCATTAAATTACCTTAGCTGTTCAAACCCAAACCATACGCTTCGGTCTCCTTTTTTGGCTTATCATGGAGTTTACATGCGGCATCTGATTCATCCGCACCAGAAGAATCTCGAATTATGTTAATTGATAAGG